GCAGACGTGTACATATCACGATGGAATCGCGTCCGCTGTAATTGCCAATTACGTTGGAAACGACAGAGTGAAAACACATCCCCCGCAGGAAAGCAGATGCCAGACAGAGGAGATCGCACCAAATTTGAATCAAGAACTTTTGACAGAGAACGAGCTTTATCTTATGCTGCGACGAGTGTGCGGTAAAGACCCCCTTCTTTGCCGGGTCATTCATCAGTTGGAAATGGATCCAGTCAAGGAGAACAACACCAGCAACGGCAGAAGCAAAGAGCTTGATGCAGCTGTCTCCGTTCCGTCCGAAGCGATGCGGGTGAATTTGGATGAGTTATTTGCCGTACTACACGAGCGTTTTTGCAGCCTTGATGAGCGGAGAAGTCAATCGCAGGGAACAACTATCCCTTCGGCCACCATCGGTCCCCAGGCGTTGAAGCGGGCACGTGAATCGGATGGCTCCGAGGAAAATTTGGGTGTTATTGCGACAGAGTCGGCTGCAGTTGCCCCTCCAAAGAGCCGTTATCTTGAACCCGTCGACGGTGTTGATGGGGCCGGGTGTAGCGATGCGTTGGAGGTTTTGGCGCATATACATGCATTGCCCGGTACCACTTGTGCCCTGAACTCATTTGATGCCGTGGCGGGTCTTGTGGACGACGGCGAACGAGGAGGGCTTGAATCCCACAGTTCTAGACAACAGGGTTTGGAACCCAAAGGAACTTCTAGGAGTGATATTGCCCCTGTTGGGCTGCGTCCAAAGCAGCGACGGCATAAGTTTACCCCTGAAGAGGACGAGGCAATACTTCAGGGGGTGGCGCGTTTTGCAAAGGGGCCTGGAAGGTTCGAAAGTATACTTTATGCCTACCGTGGCGTGTGGCATCGTGACCGGACAGCAACGCAGCTGCATGATCACTGGCGGGGAACTTTGCGGCAACGGGCTGTTCTTCAACAGGGAGGCTATCGGGGCAAAAACAGCATTGCGACACGTGGGGGTAAAAGCGAAATGGAATAGGAAATATCTCTTCGTGTATATATGCTGAAGAGTGAGTGTGTGAGGCTGGATGAGGGTGAGGAAGACACAGACAGGGCAACCGTTCTTTTTTTTTTTATTATATTTTTTCCAATAATTAAAATAAAATGAAGGGGGCAGAAAATTGCGTGCACTTTTATATGTGTGTTTGTGTGAGTGGTTCGCTTTAAGGCGGATGTCAAAAACGCGGTGCTTTTTTTCCTTTTTGGTTTGCCTTCTCATGTCTGATTTTTGTATAGCAATTTGGCCGCCGAGAGTTGGTATTTGTTTTGGGTTTCGGAACGCATGTCGACCGATAAAAAGATACGGAGGGATGCCCCACTGCCGAAGTCTTGGACAATCGGCATTGCCGGATTTTCCGGCATGTTTGGATGGGTCTTTACACACCCATTTGAGATGTGGAAGAACACAGTTATGATGGCACCCCCCGGCAATTCGCACTTAGATGTCCTACGAAAAGTACGAGAGCGAGGGGCTTTCAAGGGGCTCTCGGCGGGGCTCCTCCGTCAGGTGGTATACGCCCCCGCGCGTCTTGGATGTTATCCCATTTTTCGCGACGCTCTCATCATGCTGAAGGGTGCCAGCCCAGAGACCGCCCCATCCATCGCAGACCGGGCACTTGCTGGAGCCCTTTCCGGGGCTTTTGCGAGTGTCTTGAGTTCCCCAGTGGAGGTGTGCCTTGTGCTGCAGACGACCTCTCCGATGAAGGTCTCCATCCTCAATGCAGCAACGCAAGTGTACACGGCGAGTGGAATTACCGGCTACTGGCGCGGAGTGGGAGCCCTGGCTTCACGTGCTGCCCTTGTGGGTGTGTGTCAGGTCGCTGTGCACGATCAGATGCTTACTTTCCTGCGTCGTCATAACAAATGCCGAGCAGAACAGAAGGGCGTGTCTCCGTACGGTGACAATCTTGTTGTGAATACTGCCAGTATTTTTACAGCCCTCTTCTATGCCTTCTGCACGATGCCTGTCGAGATGGCACGTGTACGCATGTCAGCCGAAGCTCGTAAGGGCAAACTGCCCTCCGGTCAAGCTGCTGAATTGAAATATAAAAATGTTTTGCAGGCAATATCCCGCATTGCCCGTGAGGAAGGTGTATTGACAATCTATGACTCTTTTATTCCGTACTTTTGCCGCTGTGCAACCCATACAGTGGTTTGTTTCTTTGTGATTGAGTGTTTAACGCGAAACGCAAAATTGTGGCGCAGTTCCAGGCAAACGAAGGAGAACTCTTTTGGGTCTCGTCGTGTTGACGTGCCTGCGTGAGTGGGGAAAAGGGATGAACGGCTGGGGCGGGAAACAAAGAACAAAATAATTTTTTTGTTTGCGTCGGATTGGGCGAATGGAGCGGATGAGGGAGGAAGTTACCCGCAGAATTGTGAGATTTGGTCCGTTTTATTCAATTTTCCTTTACCGCAGAAGTGAGTGATCAACCAACGGCCATAGACCGAAAATAACAGAGGACAAGGGATGACTCAGAGCACAACACGATACCAGGATGGATGGAGTTGCAAGCCCATTAAATTAAAACGAAAAATCGCGATATTACGAGGAGGAAAAGGCGAGGGAAAAAAAGAAAACTACAAATTCGCATACAATTATAAAAGCGCATACACAATTTTTAAATGCATCGCTTAAAATAAGTAAATGAATAAATAATTTACCCGTTGATGAAGTGGGTGATGAGGGGATGAGGGGCTGGGCGTTAGACCGATAATGGTTGAATTAAAATGGAATTATTACCCAAGCAATGAAGAATTGGGGAGGAAGAAGGAAAAAGTGTACTCATTTCTTGCGCCCATTTCTTCCGGGAAGGGGAAAATTTTTTGGGTGAGGTACGTCAAAGGGAGCCATTTAAAGGAATAGTCATATGCATAAATGCATATAGAGGTGCGTGTGTGTGTAAGTGTGTATGTTTCTGCGTATTCACGGAATTGTTACTTCATAGTGTTTGTACATGGAAATCTGGTATTTCTATTTTTTTTCTTCATGAAGAACTAATTTATTTTTATTATTTTTATTTTTATTTTTTGATTTGATATCACCGGCTCAAATATATATGGCCCTTTCCCCTTAATTATATATAAATATAAATATGTGTGTATGTGTTGTGGCGGGTCAACGGTCATGCCTCAACGCATTGCCATTTTTTTTCACGTGTTTTTTTATGCGTTTCTTTTCTGTGTAACTGCCCGAAAAAAGAAGGAAAAAAGAAACGAGTTTTTGTTTTTTTCTTTTGTTTCTTCGCGAAAGGAGGGTCTCTTTGGAAGGAAGGAAGGAAGGAAAGAAGAAGAAGGGGGAAAAGAAAAAAACAGAAGTGGAAGGCGAAGTGATGAGTGGCTCGGAGATTGTGAGACTACCGCCTCGGGGCGGGGTGCCAATAGAAATAAAGCTGCGTTGGGGCATTCAAAAGGAAGATCTCACAGCGTTGGGGGTTCTGCACGACGCTGCTTTTCCTGTGAAGTACGAATCCGAATACTACGACTGGATGCTGACGGACTCATGCCTGGCATTACTTGCATTCGCGACCGAAAACTGCATCCTGTCTTTGCTGAAGGCTGCTGAGCATCAGCAAAATACTGAAACGGAAAGGGATGAAGAAAATTCTTTTGGTGATGTAGAAGATGATGGATCCTCTTCACTTTACTCTGTCATGGTTGGTTTTTGCATTGGACAGATCGCATATGGACAACGACGTGATGGTCGGATTGATGCGTCACCGACTGGGTACTTGGGGTCTTTTGCGGTGGACAGTAGGATGCAGCGTTGTGGTGTGGGGGGAGCTCTTTTGGATCGCTTCTTGTCGTACATGTTTTTTACCGTATCAGTTCCACCTCACTTGTTTCTTGACTACTCTCCTCCATATCTCGGGTGCGAGGGTTTGTGGGGATTGGTCTCCTCCGCATATCCCACGTTATTTGACTGGATGTCTCGGTGGTGGTTTGGGAGGGATCGAAAAGGCACGAACCATGTCCCTCAAGAGACGTTGAAAGATAAGAAACTGTGTGACTCCGTGAACCCCACGGTAGACAGTCAAAGTGGTAGGATTCAGTACGGTGTGGGGGAGGTGTGGCTGCACTGTATAGCAGCGGACACAAAGCTGCTTCTGTACTATATGAAACGTGGATTTTCCCGCGTTCTTGTAGCACCAAATTTCTATTTTTTTGGTGGTCGCTATCACGAAGGAGCTCTTCTTGTTTGTAGAAAAGATGGGGCGGTGATAGATTTACATGATCTTAATTCAGCACGTGCCACGGGAAAAAAATTAGAGGATGGGGCGGGTCAAGAGACTTTTATTGCGAAAGGACTTTCGCATGGTTTCAGGCTGAGGAGCGGCAACGCTGTTTTTCCGGCAACAGTGAGCGAAGAGGACTCGGGCGAGGGAGAGATTGTGGATCTGCTGCTTATGACGGATTTAGCGGGGCTGCGTCGGAAGTGGAGGTCCAGTGTGGGAAAAACGGCCTTCTTTTCAGACCTGCTGGCCTCTTAGTCAAGTGCTTTGGTGCAATTTATGGAGGCGGTGGCTATGATGTTTTTGTTTTTTTTCTTTTGCTTCAGTTATGGCGTGGGGATTCGGACAAAATTTTCTGCTTCTTACTGAGTATGGGATCATGTTTTGTTTTTTTTTTTCTTCTTTTTCCTTTTTTGCCTTTTCTTTCTCCCTGTTTCTTTGTGTTTTCTTCTTGTTTTTCTTTGCGTGCGTGTCAGGCGCGTGTGAATTTTTTGCGCCGTGTTTGTTTTCTCCGGAAATGGCGTCTGGAATTGCGAGAGCTGGAGCGGGAGTTGGGGATCCCACGGGAGTGCTGGATTCGAGACGAGTGGAATGTGGATGACGCGCATTTTTGTCTAATGATAATTCCTGTGGCAAATTTTGTGCTGCAATCCCTCTTTCTTTTTCTTTCTTTTTTCATTCTTGTCTTTTGGGCAGCTATTGAGAGAAAGGACGAAGAGTACAAGGAAAACACACACTGCGTAACCAATGTTGACTAAATCAGGAGGAGTGGAGGCCAAGTTGGAGGCTCTCCAGAGCAAGTTGGAAGCCATGCATGCAGACATCAAAAAAATTGTTCCCCATAGTGTTTCGTTCCTCAACGAAGACAACTCCGTCACTCGTTCCACGCCTGTTCAATCGTTCACAAATGGTGCTGCGGTTATGGAAATGCCAACGATACCCATCGGGCGTGGATCGCGCTTAAATGCAGCAAGCCCTGCCGCTGAAGCATCCCCAAACACCACTCCGTCTTCTTTTTTTCTTCCAGTTATATCAGGGGGAGGGTCACCGAAACGCGTTGGCTTTCAAGAAAAAGGGCATGGGGCGGAGACAACAAATTCATTAAATACTCGTCGCAAGGCGGACGCAGCAAGGCAGAAGTTGCAAGATTTTGTAAAGCCAATGATATTGTCTCCAGGTGAAGAAAATGTTGCGGAGCTGCGCAGTGCCCCTTGCGCGTGGTTGTTGAGCATTGCGCTTGCATGCAGTTACGTTTCTGGTGAAAGTATCACCATTGAAGACATCCTTCGACAAAACCGTCTTGGGCTTCACTACGTTTCTTTTCCCTCCGTGACCCTTGCCGAGCTTTTTGATGTCACAAATGAGTTTCTGACAGACCACCCCAAGCTACGGGAGATGAGGGTACATTGTGAGGTGGCAACATTTGACTCCGAGACGGTGGATGAGCTGGGGGAAGTGATGGGCACGGGAGAACGCCTGCCCATCATGACACTTTCTCAGTTTCGTAAAGACCTCTCCCACTGCGATCCTAATTCCATCTGCGTTCTTAATTTTG